ATAAATTTTAAAAAGTCAAAGCTGGATCACATTTAGTGTCTCCTCCCACAAACACAGTGCTATGAAGTGCAGCTACAGTGCCCAGCATGGGGGCTGCCCAAAAAGCTGCAGAAGCAGGAGGGAGATTTCTAATTTGAGGCTGTGTTAAAACAAACAGAAAAGCCTTATCTCACTGGGTCTAATACAGGGTAGAACCTCACCATGCTTCCCCATTTAATAAAACCAAAAAAAGGAAGCATTCAGAAACAAACACTGAGGGCTTGCGCATCCTCAGCAGTTTTTGAAGTGGTTTCTGCAGGGCAGCTGGCGTCACATTGCACAGCAGCCTGGCTATTCTCTGCAAAACAATCCATGTGTTTTCAATGAGCTGTCATTTCCTGAATCCCACTGCAGAAGTGATTCTGGCACCTTCATGATTTTGCAGATTTGTCACCCGATGCTCTATTGCTGATCTGAGCCTTGTGTGTCACTGGAAGCCGTGCACCAGCAACCAAGCTCCTGCACTCTGAAGCATCAACATCTCACCAGGCTTTAACCAGCCACTTAACCAGTTAAGATGCTCTCAGCTGCTTAGAGCTAGAGGAAAGTTGTAGTTATAATTGTACAGTGTTTGTAAACCTGATTTGTTGTCTAATTTTAAGAAACTGAGAAGAAAAACCACGGAAGAGCTGATCCCACAAGGCTGCACCAAGGTCAGCAGTCTGTGTGTTACTCAGGCAGTGTGGGGTTTAAGGATGAAATCCTTTGTGTTTTAGGGGGAGAAACAGCTCACAGGGTGGCAAGTGCTTTTTCCTTATGCTTTGATACCACTTAGAGGCTGAGATCTTCCTACACAGTCTCAACACAACTACAGTCCCAAGCTGAAGAGGGCACAAATGACACCCACATGGGGAGCTGGGAAACAGTGGTGATGGTAAAGGGAAAATTCCTCTAGAGACACTAAAGTAAAGACAATGCTGTACTACCCTGCATCCCTCACTACAAAAAACCCCAATAAAATAAGGTCTGCAGAAGCAAAGCTAATGAAGCTTGGCCTCCAGCATGCCAGTCTCTCTTCATTAGAGGCAAACGGGTGATGCCCTCACTGGGGCCTCTCCCTCCTCTGACCACCTACTTTTATGGGACCTTCAGGAATGCAATTAGCACAGAGATGCTTCCTCCTTTGTCAAACTGCCTGGCAGGCAGCCAAGGGGTTCAAAAGCTGAGGAGCCTCACAGCCAGCTGCCCCTTCCTCAGCCTGGCTGCAGGCAGGGGGGAAAGGCTGCAGGCAGGGGGACTCTCTTCCCCTCTCCCACAACCAGACACCCACATTTTAAGGTAGAGGCCAGAACAGAGTGCTGAAAGCCACAGTGGCAGCGGGCAACACATCCCTCTGGAGAAAATCTGGGAGCAAAGTGTTCAGGTCTTTGGGAAGCAACTGCTTGCTTTGTCGGAGCGTGATGCCATAGAGAACCTGGCTGCATCTCTTGTGGAGGAACCAAGATGCAAGCCACCCCCAAAAGCCCTACTAGAAGCTGGATTAATGGTTTGAAACAGCTACTCTGGAGCTATTAATGGGAAGTGGTGAGCAGCAGAACAAATGCCACTTAGTGACTAAGCAGCACTGACTAAGAGTTGGATGCAACTTGAATCAACATTTATGACATGCTATAAATGACTCCTTTTCCTGTCTGCCTCACAGATGCAAGCCTGTTAAACCTTCACTAACACTAATCTAATTTTTGCTTCTCCTTAAGGCTATCTTCCACCCAAAATCTGTGTCTACTTCACAGGGGGCTACGAAAGGACCGGAGCCTTATGCAGCACTGGCTGCAAACATCTCTCCTCTCAAATATTGACAAAAAGAGCTGCCAATATTTATAAACAGACCCAGGAACAAATACACTTTTGCTGTCCAGTGTAACATGAGAAAAGAAGCTCAAAGTTCATTTCAGAGTATTTAAAACTTGTTGTGGCTTTTGCCAGGGATACAGAATGCCTGAGCACAACCTGTCACCCAGGCCTGTGTCACAGCAGTGACTCCACGGGGACAGTTTTGCTCCACATCATGGAAAGAAGAAATGTCCAGGCTGGTTGGTGATGGGCTCATGGTGCCTCTGAGCTGAGGCATGCAAAACACATGGCCACATACCTGCAGAGCAGCTTACACGTGTGAATTTTTTACTTCTCAGCTTGGAAAACTGTGCTTTCCTCCTTGTGCTCCCCCAAACCTCGGGTCAGGTTGGACTGGCTGCTTTTCCACCTGCTCTGGCAGGGGTGGGCACTCAGAGATTCATGATACCATCTAGTTCAACAGCTTGGTCAAGCATCAATGCATTTAACAGGGGACATCATGTGCTAAAACTGAGGTTGGATTCCCTTTGGGGTGAAAACCCTGTTCAAAATACAGTGGTCAGAAAGGCACCTACAATAGAAGAAGATTCATACAGTACAAATAAAGCCTTTGACAACAGTCATGAGTTCTCCTCAGGGATCCAAGCCAAGCAACTACCAGGCAAGGACAGAGACAACAACAATCAGCAGCAAAACAACAGCTCCCAACACTGCTTTTTCTGTTTCTGCATTTGCTAACACCTGTTGGTCTCCCCTCATGGTGGGTTTCAGCCTGTGACAGTGGTGGGCACTGGGTTGCTGGGGCCCTTCAAGGACAGGCATTGTGCCCAGGAGAAGACAGAGGGAGGGCAGGGTGTCATTTTTCCACCTTGCAAGAACAAAAGCAGTGACCAGAACCCATGTGACTGCTTTGGGGGACATCCTGCACCCATGGCATGACCAGACTCCCCTGGATGCCAAGTCTACACATGATGGTGGACTAAGACATTCAGTGCTGAGCTAAACATGTGGTCTTTTTCAAGAAGGTCCCATTTATAGATATAAGAGAGCATGTGCCTGTTGGAAGCCACCAGAGATGCTTGTGTAGCAGAGGGCTGTTTGTTAGGGGAAGAATCATAGAATTGTTCTGGTTGGAAAAGACCTCTAAGATCATGAATTCCAACCCTGCTGTGCAAGCTCAGACACTTTTGGGGAACTGGTGAAGCCTCAAGCCTCTTGAGCTGACAAAACCACCTCCAAATGTTATGTCATTGGCACACAGCTCAGTAGAGCTCAGATTTAGCATTGTAACTTCTGGAATTAAAAATAAAATAAAATAATAAAAAGCTAACAAATCAACAGCAATAGACACACCAGGAGGCATAGGGAGAACCACCCCACACAACCGTGCCAGATTCCATCTCATCCCTGGAGCAAAAGGGGCACTTAGGCTCAGCCTGTACTTCGTTTTTTTTCATGGCTATAAAAAGGACTTTTATATGACTTTTAAAAACTCTGGCAAATCCCAAATCAGTTATGCTGCTCTTCCCAGCACCAGAAGCCCTCCACAGGGACAGAAGAAAGCAGGTGCAACAGAAGACACACAGTTTGTTTTCCTATGGAGCAGCAGAGCTCTGGCTCTCCTGAAATTCAGGCAAAGGGATGTTCTACCCACTCAATAACACAACTGTCTGAAACAGCCAGAACCTTGCAACCAAAAGGTGCCCCATCACTGCCCAGCTCAGAAACCTGCAGGGCAAGATAAACAGTGGGGAGAACCTGCCACTTCCCCAAGGAAAACATTTAAACCAGCTATTTTTCTAAGCTTATGCTTTTTTTTTTTTTTTTTTTTTTAATTCTGTCCAGGGTTTTCAGTTAAGAAATATTTTAGCTGCTTGAAAGCAGACAACTTCTAAAGAATAACCTTTTTCCAGGCTCCAACTGAGGGAATTATGTCCAAGGGCTAATCCAGGCAATTACACCCAAGGCAAATTACATGACCTCAGACTGACAAGGAATTAAAGCCATTTTAGCAAACTCAGCTGAATAATTCCTCTACCTTCACTTAAGCAAAGCTGACTGGCTACATCTTTCCCAGAGGGCAGAAAAATCTATACATAAAATACCTTGAGGAATCCTAACACAGATTTTCTCTAATAATTAACAGGCAGGAAACACAACCTCTCCTTTCACCTGTGCTGGACCAGGGGATTACTTCAAATGCTTCATCTTTTAAAAAAAGATTGTTTCTGCCTACACAGGGAAGGATGGCACACATAGAAGAAATACAACCTAAGAAGACACCAAAAAGCTTCAGTGGATTTAAGCCTGAGCTGGTTTACCCTTTCCTAGATATATACTTCAGTGTGCAAGAGATGGGCATGGCTACCTCAAAATAACACCAAAGCCAAGACTCTGCTCATCTCTGTGGGACCTGGGCAGAGGACAAGCCTACAAGGAAAGTGCCTTCCACTTTAATGCTGGAAACTCAGTTCTGGTGGGGATAATGCACTTTTTGCTCATTAGTATGAATGCACTTAAACCTCTCCTTCCTTTTTTCCGTAACGAAAAGAAAGGGAGTGTAGATGCCTTCAGAAACAGGACAGATTTTGGCAGGCAAGAAAAGCACAGCTCCTTGCATGCCCTGCACACACCAACCCAGCAGCCTTCCCCATTTCAGGGTGGCCATAGAATCATAGAACAGAATCACAGAATCATTTAGGTTGGAAAAAAGCTTTAAGATCACCAAGTCCAACCGTTAATGCAGCACTGCCAAGGCCACCATTAAACCCTGTCCCTAAGCATCACAACTACACGGCTTGTAACTACCTCCAGAGATGGCTGTGACTCCATCACTTCCCTGGGCCTGACAACCCTTTCAGTGAAGAAATTGTTCCTAATTTCCAATCCAAACCTCCCCTGGCACAACTTGAGGCCATTTCTTCTTGTCCTATGATTTTCTGGGAGAAGAGACCAACACCCATCTCACTACAACCTCCTTCCACGTTGTTGCAGAGAGGGATAAGGTCTCCCCTCAGCCTCCTTCTCTCCAGGATAAACAACACCAGTTCCCTCAGCCACTCCTTGTAAGACTTGTTCTCCAGACCCATCCACAGTTTCATTGCCTTTTGGACATGCTCCAGCATCTCAGCATCTCCCCTCCCCCACGAAGGAGGAAATGCTCCTACCTGAGCAGAGGACTCCCTTGTACCTGGCGCAGGAGAAGTCGTCGCACTCGCAGAAGGGCCCGTAGATGTTCCCGAACTCACTCTCGTAGCAGAGGCACTGGTTGCAGCTGCACTCCCCTCTCCCACTGCAGAGGGGTTTGCCCTCGGCCTCCCGGCACATGGCCTGGTGCATGTCCCCACTGGCCCCCTCCTGGCACTCGCAGCGGGCGCCCAGGTACCCGGCATCGCACTCGCACAGCCCACAGCTGTAGGTCCCGTTGCCGCTGCACTTCCCGCTGGCCGGCGCGGCGCGGCTGGTGCAGCCACAGAGGCAGTTGTAGGTCACTGTCACCTCCAGGGTGTCCCGAAACCCCGCAGGCTTGATGGTGAAGGCGTGGGAAGTGTCTTCGGCTGGGCAGCTCCGAGCCTCCACGGCCACCTCGAAGGAAACCTGGGGAGGGAGGAGGGGCAGGCTGAGATGTGTGTTAACACACGTGGCCCCAGAAAGGCTCTTATGGGTGTCCTGGGAAGGAAGGCAGGAGGGAATGGAAAATGTCCCAAGGAAAAGCCATGGAGGGACTCCCTGGAGTGGAGCCACACTCAACACGTCAAGCTCCCCAGGCTTGCAAAAACCTCCAAAACAACTGCACTTCTAGCAAGGGCATCTGCAGCTCAATGCTTTGACATCCCACAAGGGGTTCAGCATCCTTAGTGTTTTTAAACTCTTTACTGTCAGCCATCAGCAGTAGTTTTGCCCATAAGGGACAACTGGTTTCTGTGAAGGAGGAGCCTGCTTATTGCCATTAAATAAACAGGGCAAAACTCTAGCAAATAGCTTGTTTTTCATGCTATGAAATATAATAAACCTTGTTGAAACTAACAACTAGCAAGGATCTAACCAACGCAGCACAAGGGCCCGAGGTACCTACAAGATCATTAATTTAGAAGGTTTTTTGTGAATCCTGATCTGCACATAGAGATGTGCATCAGCCATGCAGTGCCAAGATTTCAGGACACCACTAACAGGCCTGTTAAGCACAGCTTCAGAAGGGTTATACATTCCTATATGCTTATACATCACCTCCCTACTCATTTTCTCTTTCTACAAACCACTGTCAGGGATTTTCTCACTGGGAAAAGCAGGAGCTTCCAACAGCCCCTTGCTTGTCCCCTGGCTTAATCCTGCTGTTTTGCTGTGGCCTTGGGCTGGACAGAGCTGGACAGAGCTGCGGGTTAGCAAAGAGGATTAACCTTATTCCAAAGAAACAACCCCCTCTCCGAGGCATCAGGAGGATTTTTCTCTGGAAACATCTGGGCTCACCTCAAGCTCTCACTGCCTGCCCTGTCCCATATGCCAAGGGGTGACGTGCAGACAGTGGTGCAGCAGCCACCTCCAGCTGGGAGAGTTGCACCCTGTGAGCCTCCCTTGATCCCCTCCCATTCCTGAGGCCTGAAGCAATTAGGAAAACTAGATCAAATTACAGAGAAGAGGAAAAAGCAAGCTAAGGGGACAAGGACAATCCTGCTCCCTTTCATCCACTGGCACCCATGCCCCAGCATATGAGGATAACCAGTGCCAGCAATACCCTCTTTGGGGAAACTTTCTTAGCAAGAGTCAAATCTTCAAATCTTGATATGTGGAAGCAATGGGGCTGAGAACAGCTGAACAAGGGGGGATGAAGGGATGGGACCCCTGTGATCCTGTGGCACGTCTGCCTGTGCAGGCACCTTGATACTCAGGTGCACCTAAATGGGAGAAGCACCAGCGCTGGCTCCTTGCTGCACCTCAGATCTTCTGCCACCTGGGCAGAAGGTACCCCAGTTCATCTGGGTGGGGAGAGTCAGTCATTCCCACTCATGCCATCAGTCTCTGTGGATACAGGCACACATGTACTCGCTGCCAAAGCCCTTTACAGCATGAGCTGCAGCATCTGGAGCAACCCCCCTGCTCCTGCCAAAGCCAGGAACCCAGGGTCAACCACGAGATTAACTCTGCTACCTCTGGAGCTCAGGCTTTGCTGGGGAAACAAGGAGAGCACGTGCCAAGCACGGCAACGCTCCAGCAATTGCTTTTACCTGCCCATAAGAGATCCAGCAAAGTCAGCTAAAAAAGCAGGGGCCACCTCCCTTTTTAACACTTCTCGTGATCCTTATTTGGCTGGGTAAAAAATCCAGCTACTGTTGACTCTGTCAAACTATTTTTATATGCCTCAGTGCTTAGAGCCCTGGTATGTTTGCAGAGCCTCTCTATTCAAATAAGGCAATCGGGCTGCTAACGAACCCACACCCAGGGCCTCGCAGACAGGTCTCCCTCCCCTCTGGTCTGAGCCCTCCTGCCCCAGCCCTGCAGCCCACTAACTCCTTTATCCGTATCAATATTAAGTTTTAACAAGCAAAGCTTAGTTTCTCTGGTTTTTAATATAAAAAGCACAGGAGGGATTGTGCCATGTATATTGTTAACATAAAGGGGCAAACTGCACTTTTCATCTGTGCTGCCATCCAGGAACTCTCAGAACTGACCACACAAGGGGAGAGCTGCTGCCTTTCTGAGCACCGTCTTTTTTTTGGCAATACCTCCGAAGTTAATCATGACCTCTTTGCTCTGGGAAAGACTGCTTTAGATTAGAATAATGTAATCATTTTGGTTGGAAAAGCTCTTTAAGGAGTCCAGCCATTAACACAGCACTGCCAAGGCCACCACTGAACCCTGTCCCTCAGCATCACACCTACAGAGCTTAGAAATACCTCTAGGGATGGTGACTTCACCACTGCCCTGGGCAGCCTGTTCCAGTGCCTGACAACCCTTTCAGTGAAGAAATTGTTCCTAATGCCCAATCTAAACCTTCCCTGGCAAAACTTACCTCTTGTCCTGTAGCTTAGGAGAAGAGACCAACACCCATCTCACTACAACCTCCTTCCAGGTAGCTGCAGAGAGGGATAAGGTCTCCCTTCAGCCTCCTTCTCTCCAGGATAAACAACCCCAGTTCCCTCAGCCACTCTTTGTAAAACTTGTGCTTTAGACCCTTCACCAGCTTTGTTTCCTTGCTTTGGACACGCTTCAGCACCTCAGTGTCTTTCTTTAGTGAGGTGCCCAGAACTGAACACAGAATTTGAGGTGCAGCCTCACGAGTACTGAGTACAGGGAGGAAATCACTTCCCTAGTCCTGCTGGCCACACTATTGCTGATACAGCCAGGATTGTCAAACAGTAACAAGAAAACCTTGAATATTCAACAGACCAGGGAAAGACCAGCACACCACAGCAATGAAAGTTTCACAGGTGTGACATGAATACCCATAATTACGGGAAAAAAAACCCTTATTCTTTACTATTGTGTCCTGCTGCCTCATCAAGACCTTTTGGCTTAGGGTACTGTAGACAAGATGTCTGTGTTCCATCTTTCCTCTTAAGTGACCTTGGGCCGATCTATACAACCCAGAGCCACTTCTAGCAGAGCCACTCTCAATGGGTTTCTATATTAATAAGGCACAGCATGAGGAGGGGAGGGGAAGATGAGCAAAGCTGTATTTTATTGCCTGGGAACACTCACTGAGAGGGGTGAGTGGCTGCACAGGGGGTGAAACAGCCTCTCCAGGGTCTGGACTGAAAGACAGACTCACCGTGTCTCCTATTTTGAGATCCCCACATTTTCTGAGCCCAGGGTAGGACAGCCCATCCTGGCACGTGGCAGTGAAGGTCAAGCCAATGTCCTCAGGGCTGTCCCAGACCGTGAGCTCCACCTTGGACCGAATACTCTAGAGAGACAATGGGAAAGCAAACTGTCAGGTTCCCAAAGGTGAGTGGGTTTCTTCTGCTTCTATCTCTTCTCCTGATGCTTCCTGAGGATGGCCAGACCATCTGTAAACCTATTTGAAAAAAAATCACCCATGCACACATATTGACATTTGGGTTTTACTTTACCAGCTCAGGAGATTTCTGATGAATGCAGCTACTCATGGGGAGGTGCCTAGAACCCCTGCAGGTGGCTTATGTCCTCTAAAACAGTTGTGATGAGCACCGTAGCCAGGATTGAAAAGATACGGATGCACAAGTAAAAGAAGGAAGGAAACATTCTCTACCACAAATAGAGCATCTCTGAGCCAAAGTTCAGGATCTCATGCACTCATCTGCACCTCCTCCTCCCTGCAAACCAGCCCCTTAGAGAAGTGCAAAGCATGATTCTTCACTGGCAGCCATCCTGTGATGTCTGTCTTAATGCACAAAGAAGGTGTAAAACTGCACTAGCTCTTTCCTGATTTTTCACCCAACTGGTCAGAAAAGTGTAGTTTCCTCTCTTTGGAGAAAATGCCAAACAAAAAGTACCCTTTCAGATGCATTAGCTGGAAACATCACCATGGGAAAAATAAATGAGAAATCTCTTTCCTTGTGAAACTTTTCAAAGTGAAAAACATTCTCCTTCAGCAAGGTTTTGGTATGTCCCTACCCCCTTTCTTCTGCTTCTCATCTCTCCTCCCTGCTGCACATACAGACTTTTTAAGTCAAAACAAAATTAAGTTTATAAGTATTAATTCAGAATGAGGTTGTTTTGGTTCAATTTTCCAAAGGCTGGAACCGATTTTTTTTTTAATGAGTGGTATCGAAAAAAGACAAGGTTTTCAAAATGGAGCTTTTTATATAAATGCATTGATTTTTCCAAAGCCAGCTTGCAGCTCCATCCTTCTCCCCTTTGTCCCCAGCCCTCATTGAAGTGGCCAGATTAAGGAAAAGTGCTAATTCAGACTTCTTACCAGTCCACATGGTGACAAAGCCAGGGTTCACATGCCAGAAAAGAGCTAATGCTTTTGGAAACAGGCAGCAAATAAATGAGTTTTGTCTGGATGAATCTGAACAGCCCTTGGGGAAAAAAAGGAATAATTACCCATGTCTCTGCTATAACAGAGGAGCTGTTCATGGGGTGGCAGTTTGGACCATGCAGAGTATCCACCACCTGCAGGATGAATGCCAACACATACCAGTAAAGCTGAACATACTGCTCTTCCCAAAATCATCTCAGAGAACTTAGGTGTCACACTGATTGACAGGCTTTCATATCTTCCTGCCCAGAGCATCTCATCTGGGGCACAGTGGAAGACAGGACACCAAACCACACCTCACTGGGACCTTGCATGGGCTCTTCCTTTGCTCTTATACAGATGCCAGAATTTCTTGTTAGCCCTATACAGTAATCCTATTAGCTTAATTGTAATGCTGTTATTATTAGCCACTTTGCAGCACCATACAGCTATATGTTCTCACAGCACCATGGCCACTGCTGAGGACTACTGTGAATTTTGCTGCTGTGTTATTTGGTGGTCCCCAAGCCTGTTGAACAGGCAAGAAACCAGCCTCTATCTCAGCAGCAGTTTGTTCTGCTCTGCTCCTTCTGTGGGGCACCTTGGTATCAGCATCCTGGTGTTTTCTAGCCAGCTGCACTAGAAAGCTCAAGAGCAAAGAGAGGGAGGGATCAGGGGTGGGGACATCAGATCCCCAGTGGTTTTCACCACCTTGTATCTATCTGCAAAGGCTCAAGGGGTGGTGAAACAGAGGCACAGATGCACGTTACATCTGGGAAAACAAGGCAAAGGGAAGTTTTCATGTGATGGCACTGATGCACACTCAAGGTGGAGTGAATGTTAATTTCTCTCCTCAGCCAAGCATCTTAGCCACAATATCTTCCTTCCTCAAGGGAACAAAGTGGGACAACTGGGCTTTTGTTTCGTGGCATATCCAGGGCCTCATTAGCAGCAATTAGCTGCTCATTGCCTTTCCTCAGGGAGTGAAGCTTTGGGAAGTGCTCTTTCCAAGGGCCTAACCAAATGCTTCTTTAACTGCAGGGAGCTGTGGGGGAAGCAAAGATGAACATTACACACCATGCAAAGCACAGCACAATCTTACATAACATATGGATGTGCAAATTCATCCAAAAAGTACTTCCTCACTCATTTGCACTAATGAGCATAGTACCAATCTGAAGGGCTTGCAGCCATTAGAAGTTGTGTGCACAACTTTCCCATGCATGAAGAACACCAGCTGAAGGCTGACCTATCATGGGGTCATATCTCCATGCCCAGCACCTACACAGCAATATCATTTCAGGAGCATCAAGAATTCAGGTGGAAGTCAACAGAAATGTTGACAGCTGACTGCACAACATGCAATTTAGCTGCTTCAAATGGATCTGCTCCCTGGATCTCCACGGAGATGGACAACATCAGGTCAGTGGTAGAACAGCAGGTCCTTTGCTATCCCCCATGGGCTCTAGCATGGCAGGGCACGCTCTAAGGCTCCTCTGAGACCCAAGACACACTCATGCTCATGGGTGCCTCAGGACAAACTTGCACTGGATGGAGACCAATAAGAGGATGCCACCTTAGTCAGAGCCTGATCACATCCTTGGGGGGCTCTGAGCATCAAATACCAAAGAATTAATATATTTTAACTACTGGTGGGGTGCTCTGTGAGATTGATCAGGGCTGTATTTTGAGGGCAATTCTGCAAACAAGAGACATGGGGAGAAATTTCTGCTTTGCCACAGACTCCCTTGGGCATCCCTGTGCTCCTTCTCCACCTCACACCCCTCATTTCCCTCCCCAGGGTGGATGCCCCAGCTTCAGGTGTGCACGGAGGGCTGGGGAGGAATGTGGCTGAGCTGGGTGGAGCAGGCTGGGGAGAGACAGACAGCTGAGCTCTTGGCACTGAGCACAGCAGCAGCAGCTGTGGTATTAAAATGCACTTACATTGTAGGCCTTGACGATCAGCTCGATTATATTCTTGGAGTCTTTGTGCAAAATCTCCACTGTTGTCCCAGGAATCAAGGCAGTAAAGTTCTTGTGAAAAAAAAAAAAACCACAACAAAACAAACAGAAAGCAAATGAAAATGCTGAGATGGAGAAAGAAAAGCAGAGGGTGAGGAGAGACCCTCCTCACACCAGGGACACTGGCCAAAAAAAAACCACAACAAAACAAACAGAAAGCTAATGAAAATGCTGAGATGCAGAAAGAAAAGCAGAGGGTGAGGAGAGACTCTCCTCACACCAGGGACACTGACTACATGCTCTGCCCTGTGGTCTGGTGGTGGACATGGTAAGGTTTGGCTCTGTGGAGTTTTTGGAAGAAAAGCATTGCTAACGTGGCACGTCAAACACCACACAGTTTGTGGCCAAGGGATGGGGACTAACAGACCCATTTCTGCTGCCAGAGGGAATCAGCCTCAGCCACTGTGCACTCCAGAGAGGCAGCACGGCAGGGAGGGAGGTGCAGCTGCCCCTCTTGCCTCCCAAGCCATGAGCATCCCGGGAGAGGGGGTGGAGAATGAGCTCAGCCCTCCCGATGTCCACGGGTGAGCAGCAGCTTCTCAACTGTAGCAACGCGGCTGCTTGTTGTTTTTGCTCGAGAGCAGAGGTTTCCGACAGGAATCCCGCCTGGAACACCTTCCTGCAGCCGCTGAGGAGTGAAACCCTGTGGGGCAGCTCCCGGCCCAGGCCAGCCCTTGCAGCTTGGGGTCACCTCTTCCTTTCTAATGAGTTTAAACTGCATGTAGTGTGTCCGTGCCCCGGGCTCCGTGATGGAAAAACACAGCTGGGCAGCAACGCTGCGTGCAATGAGGTCATGGGATTAAGTCACTGCAGAATGGGTTGAGCAGGTTTCTGCTCCCGCCCGTGCTGCAGGGCTGGCAGCCACCCCACCATCAAGATTAAGCTGGAGCATATTTTAGGGCTTCACATGCTCACTAACACATAGATCTGTTTGCTCTAAGATGCTTTGGTGCTTTGTGCTGCAAGGACCAAGCGAGGAGGGATGGTGGGCTGAGACTCGCCTGCCTGCCCCTGCCTGCCCCACGGGCAGCACGTGGGCTGCTCCACACACCCTTGCAGCTGCACACACA